CAGTGACAGGGGGTGGGGTCTGTATGATGGTAGGGGAAACCCTGAAAGAATTATGCTTCAGTTTCACAATGATGCAGGCTGTATCTGAAGCCGACCCACAGCTGGCACACTTTTTCTTTCTCCTTTTTCTTTGGAAATGTTGAAAAACATAAATACTGGATGTAGAAAATATCTGAATAAACCGGCCTGTCTGACAATTAGTTTGTTTATGATGCTCAATCATTACATTAGTGTCTGTCATTAGCGAGTTTACATCATTTCTGAATTTATATGCAGTCTAACTAGTCAACAGTCCAAAAAAATCCATGTTTACATGTTAAATATCAGTAAATAATATATTTGACAACAGATAAAATCTATTTTAAAAAAGGTTAAACATGAACATTGAAGCCGTTGGTTAAATATGAGTAATATTTACCTGTAAAACAACCCTTTTAGCTCTTGTAAACATGTTATAACAATTTTTGCAGTTTATAGTAAAGTATTTGTACCATTTGTATGTTTATAAAACATTTGTTTGCACCGCGCTACATTCTGCTCATTGATTTCAATGATTAGCGTTAGCATTAGCTCAYTGCATAAAAATCCCCCTTGTGAAGCACGTCCAGGTCACGTGACGCCCAATCCAATAATATATATCAATGATCTGAGGTTTCAGGACAGCGTTGTGAACTCTGTGAGGTCATATCTACCGGTGTGKTTCGATTTGTCTCACTCTAAGTCTACAACCTCACAACACAGCCAGCTGGAAGTGCTTTAAGTAAAGTTACACTCTGACACTGAGGAAGCTCTCATTATGGGCAGACCTGGTTGAGGAGGAAGCCTGGATGTGGTTGAGGTTCTGCACGGCTGGAGCTGGAGGCAAAACCCTCCCAAAGGGAGGGAGCGATGGAGGAAGAAAGGTTAATAAGATGTAATCACTCGTCCCTCTGGTTTAATCCAGGGTTGGAGTTGAGTCAGGTTGAGGAGCCGGGGCTCATCCAGTGTGTGTCGGGCCTTTAGCCCAGCTATGGTCCCTTAGCTCTGGATGTAACTAACCCAAGCTTTACCCGTCCCCACAGCTTAAGAAGAACGGCGTTCAAAGAAACGGGTTTCTCCCGAGGACGCGGGGCGTGACCCTCCACTTCACCCCCTGGAGGAGTGTGGCGGAGGCGCACGACGAGGAGGGCTCCGAGTCCGAAACCAGTAGCAGCAGCCAGACTTCAGACGACGAGGACTGCATCAAATCCTAACATGGCTTTATGGAACAAAAACCCAAGAACAGAACGGCCAACACCACATCCCAGCAGAAGCAGCCCCGCCCCCTCTCCTCTTCTTTCTTCTTCTTTGATTTTTAGGGCACCAATTTGAGTTTCTTGATTTTTATTTTTATTTTCTTGGTTCTTGCACAAGGGAAAAACCAATCATATCCCAGTGAAGGAGGAGATTCCTGCTCTGCCAGACGTCATTTTCCCTGCGTTTCCTCCTTCACTGCAGTCTTTGACCTCTGACCCCCCCCCACCCCCACCCTCCTTTTTTGTTTTTTCCTGGCTTTATGGAACTGAAGTGTTCATCCAGAAAAGAAGGGCAATGAATGCACACTTGATTCTGCTTTAAACAGACTAACTCATTTCATTGATGATGCCGATGACACATTATTAATGATATTAATAAAAGTTTGTTCCTGACAAGCTGATCCAGTTCACTATGACTCTGACTACTGTGCTGTTTCACCTGAGCCCACTTTTATTTTTGTAGCTTTGGTTTGGACCTGAGAACCAGAAACATTTAAACTCTTTGGTTGCTGAGGGGAAATTCTCATTCGAAAATCTGTTTTTTTTTTAGCTTCCTGCCAGTATTTAATCACCTTATTGGCTCTTTAGAATAAACATTWGGTTACATCTTAAGAAAACTATGTTCCTTTAATATAAAAATGTGAAAAAAAAAGGCACTTTGTTCTCATTTCAGTTTCCCACAGTCACAGAAGTTTAGTTTGAGCTAAAAATAGATTTCCTCTTTAGTGAATCTTTCCTTTCTCGGTCTAAATACTTAATAATCCAGGTTAAATAATAATTTGTTTACACATTAAATTAGTAAAACGGTTATTGAGGCGTCATTTAACATGTTTGTAAATTAGTCCTGAGCTGTAGCAGCAGGTCCGTCTTTGATCATGTTTATGCATTTTCAGGCTCCTCCCCCTGAAAGTCAACCACCACCTGTATCCGAGGTGTTTTCAACTCTATACCTGTGTAATATAATTACATCATTTCTGTAAACACAGAGGCACTCAGGAGGTAGGTCTGAGGCTCATTGATGAAATCGTCYTTTTTAAATTAGTCTGCACATCAAGTGTTTGATCAGAGCAGAACACTTTGTGTCTGTTCACACATAAGGAGTCATCACAGGTGAGTCGTTCTGATTTAATCTGCTGATGCAACACTTTTTACGCTCTTTAATTCACATGAGCTTTATGTTGCTCACAAGCATCACTGTTTATATCAAACTTTACAGTTCACACTGGACTGAGGCTGTTTTCATCAACCGGTATRAACACTAGATTCCATGATAAGTATCGGATTGATACAAGCATGACTGAGTCGATTATTTTACACTTTTACACTATTTTTCACATATGAGACAAAGTCAGCAGTTATTTTTCCTCGTGCCTGTGTGCAATGAGAAGGTTTTTYTGTGTGTTGACATTTCTTTATTTTGAGCTGCTTGAAGGTAATTAGTTTTCACAAAACATTTTATTTCCCTAAAATTAACTATAGACAAAAAACACAATGAAAAGTATCTGTATTTGTGATACTAGTCCAGTATTTACTTAATATTGCTTCGATAATCAAAATTCCTATCACCCACTTTTATTGATCATTTTTGAGGCTGTTGTTGGAATCAGGTTAATGTAGTTTATCAGTCGGGTTTAATTCATAAAGGCTCAAACTTGAGAGAAAATCTCAAGGTCATAAAAAAACAAATTGATTCATATTTTGGAGTTTCGTTACTTTGTATTATGATTCTTCAGATCTTTTTTTTTTTTTTTGCCACTTCAGTAGAAAACAAAACTGAATGTTAGTTTCTTAATTTCTGCATCATCAGTGGCGTTTTTTTCCCCTGTTCTTCAGATCTAAGATCAGTCCAGGTGGGTGTGCAGCCATTTTCAGGTTGAATTACGTAACTTCTACCTGACATTAAAAATGTGCTCAACGACACAAAACTTTTGTCGACAGAATCAAAACACCACTATTCAAGTCTCCTGTTGGTCCTTAGGCTCCTCCTCCTGGGTCAGTGTCCTGCTGGTCCTTAAGCTCCTCCTCCTGGATCAGTGTCCTGTTGGTCCTTAGGCTCCTCCTCCTGGATCAGTGTCCTGCTGGTCCTTAAGCTCCTCCTCCTGGATCAGTGTCCTGTTGGTCCTTACGCTCCTCCTCCTGGATCAGTGCCCTGTTCAAGTAGGGGTCTCTGTGCCAACGAGTGGGCGTGTCACAAGGAAAGGCGATTCTAAAGCGACACACCTGATTTGACGGACTTTGCAAAAAAAGGGCGTTACTGTACGGCACCACTTTCTGGAGAACCCTACTTGGGTTACCTGGTTAACCTTAGTGTTGGGGTCAGGGTCAGGCTGTATATAGGTCAAGCAGGGTCTAAGGAAACTGTCATGTAGGCCTCGTAGCCCACAGTGTTTATGCTTTTGACACGCCAACTATTGTGACACGCCCACTTTGATTCCGCAGATAACCCCTTCTGTCCTGTTGGTCGTGAAACTCCTCTTCCTGGGTCAGTGTCCTGTTGGTCCTTAAGCTCCTCCTCCTGGGTCAGTGTCCTGTTGGTCCTTAAGCTCCTCCTCCTGGGTCAGTGTCCTGTTGGTCCTTAGGCTCCTCCTCCTGGGTCAGTGTCCTGTTGGAAGGAGAACCCTGGGTCCTCCTGTTCAAACCCCTCAGCATGCTGCTGCCACCACCGTGCTTCACTGTGGGTTTTGGGCAGGTGACGAGCAGCACCTGGTTTCCTCTAGTTTAAAACTGAGGTCAGTTTTTTTTGCTCCTCAGTCTTTAACTTTGAAAACTAAGAACATGACATAAAGCTTTGGTTCTCTTTCAACATTCGTTTCGGTATCTCACTATGGGACACGCCCACAGCCTGTACCCCCAGAAGCTCTTTTTCATTACTCCAGTCCTTTYACTGGCAGAAACGTGATGTCAGCTCCGGGAGGAGGGACCTCCTCCCAGTATAAAGGCTGACGTTGCGTAGGTGATCTTCAGTCTKACACCTCTTCTCGCTCCCAGAAGCAACTCTCAGATGACCATACAGCTATTATTGAGCTAGCTTAACTGTTCACAGAGAGAGCTAACWACTCGGTCGCCGAACGCTCTTCAATAACTGTATTTTGGTTATCTGAGTTTTTCTTTCGCTGGCCTATCATCAAACAGCAGCAATCGCAACTGGTCACCAAACCAGCTTCCCCTTTTGGTGCAATTTTCTGAGCGAAACACGTCGGGACGCTTCCACCTGTACTCGCCATGGACAGGGCTAAGCCACCGACTAGAACCTGCACATGCGGCAACGTAATTGCTGGGGCAGATACCCACTCTGTCTGCGCTTCATGTCTGGGGCTGCAACATGCCCAGGACGCGTTAGTGTCACCTGCTAACTGCGAGCACTATGTGCTCTCCGTCAAATCTCGCCGAAGCAGACTGGTGCGCCAAGCTAGCCTGTCAGATGTTGACCCGGTGCTAGGAGTAACCAAACCCCCGCCACCGGTAGAACTCGCGGCGAACAACGAGGAAGAGCCCCCACCAACCGGAGCCAGCTGGAGCGACCAGCTCGATTCTGTTGCCCCACTGCTGGGCCCGGAGCAAGACGAGACGGACCTCCCGGTTTTCAGTAACCTAATTAGCACGGAAACTGACTCCGAGGCGGAATCTGTTAGTCTCAGTTCTGACGACTACGAGCAGGACGGCGAAGTTTTCTCCATTCCGCTGGCTGCATAGCCCGCGGAAATGAGCGACGCCCGCGGTGACTCACCAAACTCGACTGCACTGGARCTGCACGATGTCTGCAAAAGAGCAGCTGCAAAGCTGGGCATTGCATGGCCGGAAACCCCCACGGAGACCACCACGTCCCGATATGAGGGGAAGAGGCTCCCAAGAGCCAAATCTTCAGTCAGACAACTGCTGCCGGTTTTTCCGGAATGCGTTGAGGAAGCCACCCYGTCCTGGAGTAATCCTTTCACCACCAAAAACCCCGTCCTGGGAGGGTCAGCGCTGGACTGGACCGGCATGGAAAACAGCGGTTTTTCACATCTGCCTCCGTTAGAACCACTGCTGGATTTTCACCTGCATCCGTCACAGAAACCGACCATAACAACGGCGGGACCCACCCTCCCGTTTAAGGCCGATTCTTTTCAGTCAGCTTTAAATGAAAAAAGCTACAAGGTGGCAGCAGCATCAGTGAAGGCCCTGAATGCATCATCTCTTCTCCTCACTTACCAAGCGGAACTGCAGGACGACAGACCGACAGCAGATCTGTGGGACGAGCTGTGCATAGTGACAGACCTCTGCCTGRGTCTCCACAGAAGCGTGGTTCAGGCTTCAGAGAGAGCGATGGCTCTGATGATCACCCAGGAGAGAGCTAGGTGGCTAAACCTCTCTAGCCTGTCTCAAAAAGAGAAAAACCAACTCCTCGACGCTCCGATTGACCCGAAGGGCTTGTTCGGCCCCACCTTGGCAACCATGCAAAAACGCTGTGAGGAGAAAAAGAGAGAAGATGAGGCGCTTAAACTGTGTCTGCCTAGACGAGCGCAGCCTCCTCCACCCACGGCACCACGCCAGACGTTCACTCAGGCAGCGGCCCGGCCGGTCTACCGCATCCCGAGACAGTGTTTTTACAGAAACACTCCCTGGCCCACTAGCAGGAAAAATCCAACTATGGAAAGCATGTGGGACATCAGATTGGGTAATAAAGACTGTATCCAAAYGTTACAGGCTCCAATTTGGAACAAGCCCACCCCAGCTCAGAGGCATAATACACTCTCAAGCCCAGGGAGAACATGCACGCATTTTGCAGGAGGGAATAATCTCTCTGCAGAACAAAGGAGCCATCCGACTGGTCCCACAGGAGCAGAGCAAAGACGGCTTCTTCTCCAGGTATTTCCTCGTCCCGAAAAGAGGAGGGGGCCTGCGACCAATATTAGACCTGCAAGCTCTGCACACATAGCTGAGATGGTATACGTTCAGGATGATGACACACGCAGCTCTGATAAAGTTTGTGCGTCAAGGAAACTGGTTTATATCCGTAGATTTAAAAGATGCATATTTTCACATCCCTATTTACCATCCTCACAGAAATACCTCAGATACGCGTTTCAGGGGAAAACATATGAATATCTCGTACTCCCGTTTGGCCTCTCACTGAGCCCATGCGTGTTTGTGAAATGCACCGAGGCTGCAGTCACACCTCTGAGGGAAAAAGGAGTACGTCTAGCGACGTATATAGACGATTGGCTGATCTCAGTCTCATTGGCGTCTCAGTCTCCAGGGGAACTCAAGTCCCACGCAGAGATGCTTTTATCACATCTGACAGCCCTGGGTTTCACAATAAACTGGGAAAAGAGCAGCTTAACCCCAGTACAAACAATCACCTTTATTGGGCTGTCCCTGAACTCAAACGAGTTCAGAGCGCGCCTCACACTGGAATGTATAAAAGCTTTCCGGG